CCATTATAATCAATCTATCAATCAATGAATCTATCAACCTAATTTACATCACTCCCCGAAAAGCTTCTGCTTCCTGAAGCTGAGTCCGTCATCTTGTTGATACTGATGGTCCTACATCAGCTCCATCGTCAGCTCACACCGAAACCTCCGTGGTAACACTCACCCCCAGCCCACAACAGACGTTGATCAGGTCCTCACCACACGCCAGCTCCTGTGAACTAAGGGTTTAGTGGGCCCATCCCAGGTCATCATCCCGGTACCCCTGTGAAGAGGGCAGGGAGGTTGTACTGTTCTTTGAATTTTACAGTGGGGGAAATGGGAGATTGCACAGCCAACACATCAGGGGCCCAGGAGTTGGACACAAGAAGCTTAAACTTCAACTACTGTATGCATGGGGGGCGAGGACCTCAGGAGGGGTGGAATGCTTGAGGCCCAAGGTTGTGGTTCCATCTTGTCAAGATCTTTCTGTGCCACTGAGGCATTTGGGCATAAGTCTTAACTAGAGCCCATGGGCCTAATCAGGCCCACCATCTGTTTTTGTAAATAAAGTTTTATTGGAACTCAGCCATGCCCATTTGTTTACATATTGGCTGCTCTCCCACTTCAATGACAGAGTTGAGTAGTTGCAACAGAGACCCAATGGCCCTCAAAGGCTCAAATATTTACTTTCTGGCCCTGTTGGCTGCCCTCTGGCTCCTGGGACGAGGTCAGAGCAGGTCTGAACTCCTCCCTCACTAAGAAGTAAAGGAGAGAGCTGCCTTAGGTAGCCTAGGCAGGGGTGCCAGTCACCTTGCGGGGACAGGTCAGCACACACTGAGCAACACAGCCAAGGGCCCTGTGTGGGCATGCCACGGCGTCTTCTTGTCTGCCCACTTCATTTCATGAACACTTGTGCCTGGAGTTGGGGAGATATTCTCAATGACTGTCGTCCCTAAGCCACCAGAACAGTTCCTTTATCAAAAACCTAATAATAATTTTTCAGATGCCATCACTTTGATGAGCTGATGGGTGGATGTTGAGGGGAGACACTGTAAAGTTGTCAAGAAGGGACAGGATGTGAGTGAATTAAATGAACCACACGCAAGCCACATGTAAGTCTAAGATGCTAGCAGCATCAGTCTCTTCCTAAGCGTCTTCTTGACCCAGGCAGGTGCCAGGTGGATGCTCCCTCCCCAAATGTCCGGAGCTGTGAGTCCCATATGAAGTGAGTCCCATGTGAAGCATGCATACGTGTGTGACCTTGGGGAAGAAAAGCAAACGCAGGCTGAGATTCAAGCCCTCGAACAAAATGAAGATGAAGTATTAACCACTGGGGATATCGCAGGTCTTCTTGCTGGAGGACAGAACAGGAGGCCGTGGCCGGAGCTGGCTTCGTGGAAGTGTGAGGCCCTTGGGGCGGGTGAGCAGGCAGGGAGGACAGGGTGGAGCCGGCTGCAGGTTGCAGCGCTCCCTTGCCGCTGTCCAGAGCTGATGGGTGGGTTCTTATGGGCAGAAAGGTGGATGGACGTGAGCGAATTGACCGGAAAGCCAAGTGACAGTGGAGTAGCCCTTTTCTGTCCAAACCATCCACATCTCCCTTGGGCCACGTTCCGACCTTGCTTGCCAAGTGGGACCCACATCTCAGGCCCTTGAGATCTTTGGTGATCAGGTGGGCCCTCTGGTGGGAGTGGGGGGGCGGCTACCCCATGGAGCTGTCCAGCCAAGGTAGATCTGGTCCAGGGAGATACTCTAAAACTGCCTTCCCACTGCATTCAGACTGATTCTGTTCCCCCCACATTGTGCCTTTCCTTCCTCTGCACGTGGACAGTTAAGTCACAGTAGCTTCCTGCATGCAGAACGAGGGTTCTTAATTTATGTGCATGCCTGGGGGACCTCCCGGGGTGGGGGTCACTTGTCGCCTTGGTCCCCACCTCATTCTCTTTCTCCCTCCCCTGCACTCCAATACCTGGTCTGTGGGCAAAGCAGGCTCTTAAGGCTTGGCTCCCACCAACTGACCGATTCACACAGCCCAGCCCCTCAGTGTCCTGCCGAGGCAGGAGGAAGAGGGTCACATGAGCTCCACAGGGGCCCCGAGAAGTGCCGTCCGGTGCCAGGCCCGCATGGAGAATCCGCAGGGAAGCCAAGCCAGGCCCAGATCTGTCAGAGTCTGCATCAGGACTTCCTTGTCCCTTTTCTGAAGCTGCTTCTCGACAGAATGTGACACATCCACCTCCGTGCCGTGAGGGAATGGGAACCAGAGTTCTGCAGACCGCATCCTCCGTGCTGGGACCTTATAGGCATCCAGCTGGTCTCTGGGTCACAGCGGCCCTTCGCGGTTGGTGTTATCCCATGTAACCCCTCCCGTGTTACATACGAGGATCTGAGGTGTCACAGTTCAATGACTAGTGCAAAGTTGTGCAGCCTCGTGGCAGAACTCGGGTTATCATAGCACCCAGCCGCCGTTCTCTGCTGTGCTGTAGTGCCAGAAACTTGATGCGTGTCCAGAGACCAACGACACTGTGAAGGGTTGAAGGGGGAGGGGGTCTGTGTCACCCCTCCCTCTCCTTGTGTTCCCCGCCTGCACACACACCCTAACCTTTCTCCTTCCTCCACCTCTCACAGGGCTCCCCCTGGACCTCTGACACCATAGGATGGCGCTAGACTGAGACCAGGGGTCCCCTGTCCGTGTAGGTGCTCAGTTTGGACAACTGCTTTCATGTGTCTCCTTGGTCTTTCAGGAATCTAGCCATTGGAATTGGGATCCAGAATTTCCCCGAGGGCCTCGCTGTCAGCCTCCCCTTGCGAGGGGCTGGCTTCTCCACCTGGAGAGCCTTCTGGTAAGTGCTCCAGACCTCGGCTGCCAGAGGCCAGGGTCGTGTCTGAAGTGGAGCTCAGGGCACTCCTCCTGCAGGCTTCTTTCTCCAAGAACAATCTCTTCCGACCTGGGAGTGAACCTGGAGCTTCTGGAAACATCCATAGTCTGGTTGAATTCTGCACCCCCAAGGCCAGAGAAAACTCAAGAGACTCATCTCTTGATCTTCTGCCCAAACGACCGTGTTTCCTATTTTCAAAACCCCTCTGTGGGTAGCGGCGCTATGCCCACTGTGTCGTGGTTTCTCCCTGCTGCGTGGGAAGAAAGGAGGTAGGCCTCCTCTCTGCTCCACGTGTCACATGCCTCCGGTCCCCGAGAGCCATCACATTAGCTCCTGTCATGACCTTGTCAAGGTGAAGACCGGAATTGTGTCAACAACATCCGGGCAGAAGATGCCCGTGGTCCTTGTACTTCGTGTTTTCATAGCCCCCAAAAGGCTTTCCAGTCTTTTCCTTAATTTTACCTTTGTAAAGACCGGTAAGATGAGTCCCCAGTTTTCAGAGAAGGCAGTCACGGCCGCGAGTGTCAGCTGATCAGCTCAGGTCCCCTGGCTCCTCAGTGGTGGTGCCGAGGCTGCAGTCTTCTGCATCTTAACTCAGGATGCAGAGCCTCAGAACACCTCTTTATCAAAGCAATTGCCACTGTCAAGTGTATATTGAGGGCATTAAGGGATGGCGAATAACAATGATTAAAAAGTGTCTTCCATTTCATAGGGCCTGATGCCTTACAAGTTCTTGTGCATACTGAAATTATTTTATTTCCAGCCTCTATTATCTCTCTCCCCATCATTGGAGACTACAGAATAGAGGTTTTGGGTGATGGCAGAGCAAGATGGCCTTAGGGATTTTTTTCAGTGGTAGTTCTGTGAGTCTGAAAGCTGTGACTGTCATCTCATAGAGGACCAGCTCCACAGGCAAGGAGGGGAGGGAAGGGGACACCTGTGGTCAGTGTCCAGGTCCTGAGATTAAACTTTCTGTGTAATCGTACACACTCAGGAGCTGCAAAGTCTGCTGGCCGTTGCATGCAGGCGTGGAGCCTGGAAGCAGTGGCCCCTAGGAGGATGCTACAGAGCAAACAGTGTCTCCCCCTTGCCCACCGTCAGCTCCTGGCCGAGGAGAAGCAGGGAGGGGGTGGGAGTTCACAGTCCTCTTCTGTCTACTGGGGAAGCTGGGAGGGGAGTTGTCTCTCATTTTACAGATGAAAGGACTGAGGCTCTGAGGCAGCATATCTTGCCAAATGCCCCCAGCAAGGGACAGTGAGAAGGACATCCCAACACCTTGTCTATTGGTGTTCGCCCCGTGCAAGTGTCTTTCGATGGTGAGGGTCAGTCGTGGGGTTCAGGTACTGGCTTATCTGCTGCCTCTGAATTCTCAGTGCTCATGTGGGCTGTGGTTTTAGTCAGCGCTCACGTGAGCTCAAGCTACAGAAACCCACTCTCACTAGCTCAAATAAAGGGATTTTTCAAAAGGTGAACTCTCACCTGAATCCAGGATGCAGGTAGTGGGGCCAGGCCCTCACTACACACATGGCCAGGTGTGTCCACCTTCTAGGCAGAGGTAGGCTGGTGCGTCTCCTTCAGAGGGCTGTAGTTGTGGCCGGAACCCCCAAGCATACCAGGCACAGCTGTCCTTGGGAAATGTCCATACCACTCCTAGTCAGTGTCGCATCCTTCAGAAGACAATGTAGGCATCAACCAGTGAATGGATGCGTAACCCGTGGTGTAAACATACAACGGAATATCGTGCAGTCGTAGAAGGAATGAAGTTCTGATACACGTTACGACGGGGATGCACCTTGAAAACATGATGCGACGTGAAATAAGCCAGCAAAAAGATCACATGTTGTATGAGTCCATTTATAGGAAATATCCAGGATAAGCAAATCCATAGAGACAAAGAGGACTGGACGAGTGGTTGCCAGGGGCTGGGGGTGGGGAGGGTGGGGAATGGGAGGAATGGGGAGTGGCTGCTGGAGGAGATGGGGTTTCTTTCTGGGCTGATGAAGTGTTCTGGAATTAGATCGTGGGGATGGTTGCACAACCTTGTGAATATACTAAAAACCACAGAACCGTACACATTAAATGGAGAGGTTGGAGAGCCATTTGGTATGTGAATTGTATCTCAATAATGCGGTTATTTTTAAACAGACAATGTGGGAAACTGAAAACTAAAACAAACCTGGGAAGGGGGTGTCAACTGTAACTGCATAATAGGGAAGTGGGGAAGGAGAACGAGGTGGTTAAAAACAAAAAAACAGTGAAGCGCTTTTGCACGGCCACGCCAGATACGCTGTGGGAGAAAACGCATCCGCTTTCCGGAGTTGAGTCACAGCCTGTTGAGCGTGTGCTTGACCCTCGCCATGGTGGCATGTGTGTCTGTCCTCTCCGTAGGTACGGGCAGCTGAGCGGCATGGTGGAGCCTCTGGCCGGGGTCTTCGGAGCCTTTGCCGTGGTGCTGGCGGAGCCCCTCCTGCCCTACGCACTGGCCTTTGCTGCTGGCGCCATGGTCTATGTGGTCATGGACGACATCATCCCTGAAGCTCAGATCAGGTTGGAGAGCATCCCCTCCCTCCTCTGTCCCCGTCCCTGTCCCAACCCGGGCCCCAGCCTCTGGATCTGCCCTTTCTTTACATGCTATTCTTTTCTTTACTTACACCCCTTTCTGTCCCTCCCCAAGATCATCCCCGACGGCTCTTCAGCTGGACTCTTTGAAACTAAAGGAGGAGTGGCGGGCAGGTGGGTGGAGAGTCAGACCAGGGGATGTTAGGTCTGTACACCCCGCCCTCCACCCCCAATCAAACATGATTATTTTCATATATTCTCTCTGTCTCTCTTGAATGAGGGAGAGATAGGGTCTAAAGTATTAACCAAAGCTACACCTCCAGGTTCTTAGTGTCCAGCTGGAGGTCAAGTGCCGGGGGTGGGGGAAGCTTCTCTGTGTTTTGTGTTAGTATTTATAGCAGAAAGATTTTGAGGCTAGTTTACAAGGTCAGATTAAATAACAGCTTCAACAAATAATGGCCACTCTTCATTATTCAAGTGTGGATTCCAGAGCCATGATAAGTGACCTTGAGTAAGTTACTCACTTCTCTATGCCTCAGTCTCCCCGCCAGTCACATGGTGGTAATAATAGCACTGATCTCATGTGTTTATCCTTTGGGATTACGTGAATTTTAGTCAGTCCGCCTGGCATATAGTAAGACCAAATAAATGTGACTTGTCAATATTATTATTATCTATTATTAATAGTAGGAGTATATTTCTATTGGAATTGGACGTGGGGGAGGATGCTTTCATCCTGGACAGTGCCCCCCAGGGCATTAAGGTCTTCCTTTTCTCGCTTTCCCCCTCTCCTAGCGGCAATGGGAAGCTGGCGTCCTGGGCCTCCGTCCTGGGATTTGTGGTGATGATGTCGCTGGACGTTGGTCTGGGCTAGTGCTGAGATGCGCCGGACCCCAGGAAAGGCAGCTCGAGGAAACGGCCCCGGTTGGCTTCTGCAGGACCACAAGCCTCTTTCTTCACGTTAAGACGTTTTTCCTTTCTCTCCTTTTCATCTCATTATCCTGATTGACTCTGATTAGAATGTGACCAATTTTTAGTTTTCTTTTGAGGGAGATACTGGTTTTATTTGCAATTTCAAGTTGTCACGGAACTATAGATTTTTGCTTGGCCACTAAATGGAATCTTTCTTCGATGGAATTATCAAAGACAGAGATCAGGGAAATCTCTGCTTTCGTATCTTCAATCTCCCTCGCTGGACTCAGTGGCAGCTCCTGAAGGTCACCTACAGAAGCGAGCTGCCAAGAGAGAAGCCTCTAAGCATCTTTGCCTAGTGACTTAGAGCAGAATGGCCAGGACAGCTCTCATCTGTCCCTCCTGATCTTTTACCATTGATCTGCTACCCATGCAGCCTGGAACCGGAGCATCTTGGACAGAGCAACCTACTTTCCAGACCCCGAGGAGGAACATATCTTCCTCTACCTCCCTCCAGGGAGATGCTATATGGAAGGAGGCACAGACAAAAGGAAGAAAATCGGCTAGTTTTTCTCTTTCTCTTTCTTTCTTTTTTTTTTTTAAAGGCAAAGATAGACACTATTGAAGTTTAAGGGAATCAGGACAACTGTGAACACACAGTGAGCCCTGTGAAAAGAGGGTTAGAGTGGAGCTTTGATCAGAGACCTCTGCTCTCTATGAATTTGAAGAGCAGATTGGTTTGCCATGGTTTCCAAATCCCCCAGGTGTGGATTTTGATGAGTTTATAGCCTTCCTTTTTCTAAGAGACTTGAGGACACCAGCAAACTGCTAGAATTCAAACCCTTCGTGTACTTATGGAGGGAGCCACTGAAGTTACCTTAAGTGAATGGAAGACATTTGGAATCTGCACAGGGTCCTTCTCCATTGACCATGTGGCTACTTGTGACCTGACCCAGAATTCTTAAGCTGCAGCAGATTTTGCTGGATTTTGGCCAGAGAACTCAGAATGAGAGAGGAAAAGGAGTAGGAAAAGAAGAGGTGGTTTGTTTGTGTTTTTTTTTAACATTTCCCTTTTAAAGTAAATTGTAGCCCACTC